CAGGAGAGTGATCAGAGAGATGAGGCCTCCCAAGACCTATTCTTCAACTTAAAGCAACACAGCATCACTTTAGTTCCATGTTCTGACTGCGCTTGCATCCTATGGGAATTGTGAAGTGTGCGTTGTCCTCGGCAGGAGCACCTGCGCGAGACTGATCAAGCAGACGCCGCCGCCGCCCACTCAGCCGAGTTCTTTAACTAAAAGCAACACAGCGTCGCTTTACTTCGAAGTTCTGACTGCGACCGTAACTTGTATCCTATACAAAACATTGCGGTACACACTCCTGTCTCAGGCTTCTGACGAAGATCCAGAGGCTCTTGTCACCCTCATTTCTGTGAACCATTGTGGACCCCAAGTGCATAGTCCATACCCGCCAGGAGCACCGTGAAGGGGAAGAGGAACAGGCTGCGAACTTGCAGGGAACTCACGTTCTATTCGTTTGCACTGCTCAGGTTTTTGAAGATGATCCAGAGGCCCCCTGGCACTTTCACATCCATGGCACTTCCACAATGCTGGGCCCCCCCACCCAGAAGCTGTATCAGGTTGATTGCGACGATCACAAGGCAGGTTTGCCGAGCTTCTGGGTTCTATGATTAAACAGCAGTGACAAATGTGGAATTGTATGCACTCCAGGACCCACAGCGGGAGGTCAGTCCAGGAGCCAAGGCCGCTAACCTTACTGCTCATTATGTCATTATGCCATTTGTTATCGCAAGCCATCGCAGCGTCACCTTCCTCGATGTAGTTCGAGCTTGCGGTTGCAAACGATTCACCCTGGTCTCAGGCCTGCGACGAAGATCCAAAGGCGATCAAAGACAACCGCCGCGAGGACTGTATGCAACTCTAGACCTTTGCTGCGAAAACTTCACTTGCTCCCACAGATTCCGCGTGACAGGAGGCCCGCAGAGCATCATACGCACGCCTAGCGGCTGCTGGACTCCTTCGCAAACCTCCGCCCGCGTTCCAAAAAGCACGCCCGCAATTCATTTGCGAGAGTATGTTCCGTACGCAACATACACTACATGCATTGCAGACCCCCAAACTAACCGCTAAGCTGTCCTAACCTAACTCTGACCTGACCTAGACAAAAGGAGTACAACATAAACCTTAAAGCCAATCGAAACGACCCTAACCTACCCTCACCTGGCCACTTACTTCTACTTCACTCATTGCTGTTGCAACTGCTAGCACTACCACTACTATTCCGACTCCTACTTCTACAAGTACTACCACAACCACAGCCAGAACCACAACAATACTCCTAATCCGACTCCTACTCCTACTCCTACTCCTACTACTACTACTACTATTACTACTACTTACTTACTTACTTACTTACTTTCTTTTTCGCAGTTTTTTTTTTCGCAGCTGTTCTCCTTTCTCTTTTTGCTTTTGCTTTTCCTTTTGTTTGCTTTGCAGAGACGAAACCAAACAAGGAAGCCAGCAAGCAAGGAAGCAAGCAAGCAAGCGCGAGCTGCTCACCTTTGGATCTGGTGTGCTGCTGGGGGGGGGCGCTGCGCGCCCCCCAACTCCCCCCGCACCACGAAATCTGCACTTCATCCCCGACACCCGCGCCTGCCACGAAATCAATATTTTAAGGGGAACTCAGGTGGTGGTGGGGCGTTTTCGCCATGGGTGGCGTGCGCCTGGTTTTGGTGGCGGCCCTCACCAGCGCCCAAGGATGGTGGTGGAACGAGACGATGGAACCACCACCTACCAACTCCTCACCGCCAGGTCGGTGGGAAGCTTTGTTCCGGGAGACCATGCCGACGATGGCCGCCTGGTGGGATGACGGTGGTGTGAAGCTCACCGGTGTTCGCCAGTGGACAGTGGAGCTGGGGGACGGCGGCAACGACCGAGATCTCTGGATGGTGTTCGACCTCATCTTCAGCTTGGTCGGATGGGCTCTCTTCGGCTCAGCATGGTCAGGAGTGAAGGTGGGCTGCAAGAGGGCCTTGCAGCTAGCCCTCGTTTTGATTTTATGCATCGTTGCCCATTACGTTTGGGCTTTGTGTTGGCCAGTGCTATCGCTGATCTTGACGATAGGGATGGCGCTGGTATGGCTGGTCCGGAAGACGGTGAAGATCCTTGGCAACATGGCTTACCGTGGACAACGGCTGCTTGGAGGCACTCCTGAAGCAGGTGATGCCGACTTTATGGGCCCAGGTATGGGCCGGACCCCAGAGACGGCCGAGCTTAGAGGCTTCAAGCCAAATTCCACGGAGAAGTGGATTGTCCTGAAGCGCGACGAGATGACCGTTGTCTTCAAGCTGGGGGGGGACACATTCCCAATCAGGTCAAGCGGCCTCTACGCCAGCATCGAGCCGGACACCCTACGCGGACATCCACGTCTTCTCGCTCTTCTACGAGGACATGATAAAGTTCATCTATGTCGTCATGGTTCCTGCGGCGAAGATGGACAACACTTCCAGATCTACGCCCTGGCCAAGAAGTTTGACCCGGAGAAGTTTCAGCTGCAGCAAGCCTGTCAGAGCGCTAAAGATGCAGGCAGCTTCCTCTGGGGAGTGGCGAGCACGACTACCAGACGGTTGGCGGACTTCGGGTCGGAGTCGGAGCCGGAGGCGGAAAAATGTGAAGCTCATCGGGTTCGATGGACTGGCCAGGATGGAGAAGAACGCTTGAGCGTGCAGGTCTGCGGCAACCTCGGAACCAGAGAGGCGGAGCTCCTGGAGGAGGACAAGGCGGAGGGCAAGCTGTCAGTCCCGCTCTGCGCGCAACACACCACGCAATACCTCTTGACTCGCTACACGAACAAGTGTGCCTTTGGGGGATGCTCGAGACTGGGGACCACTTCACGCAAAGGTGTCCGCTACTGCACAGACCATGAGGAGGAGGCAAAGCCTAGCCGCCAGTCCAGGTCACGTTCAAGAGAACGACCGAGAGACCCAGACCCTCCTGAACTACATCCTGGAGATGACCGACCCGAAGAACGTCGAGAAAGGGGGCAAAATGAGCTGGGGGAGATGCGGGAGTTGCTCAAGGAGATCAAAGGCTCGCTGGAGACGGCGCAAGGGAGCATGATCTCTCCTCCCTCGGTGACACATCAGCGGAAGAGAGGCCTGTCCAAATCCCCGGGACGGACTCCGAAGTCCTCGATCCATCGAAACCTGGCAAAGATTGGCATGCTGGACTCCCCGGACGATGTGCACATGGGCAACCTGCTGGAGGAGTTCTTCGACATGTATGCCGAGACCCGGGGCACGAACGTGGGTGAGGGGGAGATTCGCTCAAGGCTTGCGGAGAGACATGACAAGGAGGTGGCGGAGGTCACGAGAACGCTGGTGCAGTTGGCGTTGGTTGAGCAGGACAAGGGGCAGAAGGGGCTCTCGAAGTTCATCAAGAGCTGGAGCAAGGCCTACGACCACCCCGAGATCGCAGAGTTCCCGTCTTCGGCCACCCAATCGGATTGGTCGGTGGTTTCAAGCACTCGCACTTCACCTGCAAAGGAAGTCACACCTATGGTGGTGGAGAGAAGCGCCCAGCCCGTCCTCATCGAGAAACCAGGCATTTTCGGGCAGGACCGGAAGGCAGGGGCAGGGGGCGCTGCTGAAGGTGACCCCATGCTGCAAGTCGCTAAAGCTCTCCAAAATCAAACCCAGGAGATCGCTGCCCTTGTTCGGGGACAGCATGAAGCCAGCGCGCTCCCAGTGGGCACCTTGAAGGGCTTGAGCCGAGCATCAGAAGAATTAGTTTTCTTGCTCCGCGCATGCGGGCAGTACGATGTGAAAATCTGCGCAAGTGAGCATGGTGCATCCCTAGCCCAGGCTTTGCTGTCTGCCCAGCTGGGTGCTTCGACCCGTCTTCGAGGGCTAGGATTCCGACAAAAAATGACACCTCGCCTCGCCATCGGCCTGGCTGGGCCCTACTGGGGGACACAGGATCGCTACAGTTTGGGAGCGGCGGACTTCATCCAGTATACCGACGCGGAGTTGGACGCCTACGCCTCGGAGGCCAGGAATCCAAAGCAGGGACAAGAACAACGTCCAGCCCAACCTCAACGCTTAGACGACTGGGAAGCCAGAGTGAGGAGACAAACGGACACCTGGTGTCTCATCTACGGGGAGGAATGGCGGGAAGTACGGGTACACGCGGCATCACTTCTAGCAGAGTGGCATCAGAAAGCTCCTCACAAGTGGCCTCTCCATGTGGTGCAAGAGGTGTGGGAAGAACTTCACTGGAGATTCTTCGAAGAGCTCAAGGAGCTTCTACGCCAGTTGAAGGTCGAAGCCAAGCGGGAGAGCATGACCCTGCAGGAGATCCGCTTTCATGCTCTACTACCTGGACCAGACGGCCGCGC